GGTATCAACGGCAGGTAGGAGAAGTTTGATATCTGATGCCATATCATAGTCATCATCGACATCTTCATCTCCTCCATCATHTTTCTCTYTTTCTTCCTCTGTCACTTCCTGAGAAGGACCTGCAAAAGAAGAAGTGTGAGCTGAAGGCTCAAGGTTAGAAGAAAAGAAAGGGTAGGAAGATGGAATACCAGAGGGGCCTTCAGTGACATCAAAAGGATTGTCACTGGCAGGAGCAAAGATGTCCTCGAGAGGATGGACATCCGTATGCTGAGGAGCATCGAGAGGAGCAGCCTCAGGTCCAGTGGTGTATGTCTCAGTATCAGGAAGGACAGTCATTGATACAACATCGACATGTGTAAAGACCAAGGAGGTAGGAGAAGAGAAAATGGTTGAGAAGAGATGTGGGTGTTCAGCGGTGGCGGCGCTGATATCTACACTTTCAGTGATTTGGGTCACTAAAGTGATTGGTGAAGGTACCACTGATACGACAGTGATGGGAGAAATCACTGAAGAGCTGGGAAGGTTAACAGAAAGTGCCTCGGGGGTAAGGCTAGTTTCAATAACTGAAGCCTTTTGAGAGGCCCCAGCTAGTGTGTGGTTGTCCCCTTTTTGGATTTCTTGGCTCTCTGAAGAGAACCAAGAGTTGGTTGAGAAGAACGTTTAGAAGGGGTTTTGGTGGCTTGGCTAGACGTCGGGGGGGGGGGTTCCCTTGTCATGGCCACCTGAGAGAAAGAGGTAGTGATGGACACAATGGAAGAAAGTGCCACATCACTGTCACTCAACTTATGATCCAGAATCCTGTATCCACGCCTAAAAGCTGGAAGGTTTCCTTCTTTGGGGTAAAGACTTTTGAAAATCTTGGTCAATACCATTGAGAGAAACCTGGTGTAAGGCACCACCTTTTCTCGCTGGCGCTTGTTCATCTTAAGCACTAGGTCATCGAAAATGACCGCAACATAATTTATATTGCGACGTTGAATCGCAGATACGCCTATGATCAAGGCAATCCTAGAGTCCTGGTCCTGACCTCCAGTTTTTCCACCCATGCACTGGATGAAATGAGAAAGCATGTATTGTCAGACGGCTGACATCTTGTTTTTCTCAATCTTCGTCAGGGATTTGAGAGAAGCGCTGGAGTCCTTCTTCATTGGCCACTGGTAGCCAATGGCGTCGAGAAAAGTGATGATCTCGGTGGAGGAGGGTTCGCTGTCGAAGGGACCCTTGGGAAGACGAAGAGCCGATCGAAGTGTAGAAACCCCAAAATTCACTTCCATGCGGTTGAAAGTGAAATGGATTTGTTCCATTTTGCGTCCAGCCTCGTCTTGAACTTCGACTACCTCAACAGTGTACCAAAACTGCTAAAGAAGTTCCTTAACCATGAGGGGCTCATGGTTGAGAGCATATCCTAAGGACGACTGTTTGAGGAAATCAGCCGCCTTTTGGTAATGTGCTCTGGTGGAGGGTATCTCTAACAAGGCAATGT